AATGTATCTTTAAGAAATAAATATAGAAATAAGCAGGTTTTTATTTTCTTCGAAAATATGTAACTTTCGCTTTAAATGAATTGTAAAGGGTGTGTATATTGGTGACTAGTGTTGATAGTAAAAGAAGATCAGGTTTAATTGTTTAAGTAATAATCTCCTTTTTATTTCGAAGCAACACTGCCCTTTTATACCCAAATCTTGCTTTTGTTTCGAATGCAGTTAAATCTGAAAATCTATTTAGGCTCTAATACAGATTCCAATGAGCTTACGAAGAACATCGAGTACTAATCAATGGAATTCTCTTGAAAAACACAATAAATACCGATTGTTTTTAAAAGATACTCTATCGACTTGCCTCGCAAAACACACGGTTATATTATTCTTTACTGGGAGTTCTTGTTTTAGGTAATTTGACGATATATTAAATCATGAATTTCAAGAACATTAGCTGAGTCTTTTGTTCATGACCAAATTTAACTGCGGATAAATGGATTATCTGTATATGTCAGTTTAAATAAACTCTTATATCTATTATCTACATATTTTTACTATATGAATGAAACTGCTCGGGGTAAAGGCTATAGTAGTCTATCTTAAATATATTTAAACAAATTGTAAAGGAGGCTCAGATGGAAATACTTATTTTGAAGAGACCTATCTTAGCTTCAAATGGGTTGAAAGTTATTATTACGTAAATAAAATCGACTTTTTGTGAAAATATGACACGTCTGGCCCAGTGCTATGTCATACCAGTAGGTATAGTGCTTGTAAAACTTTAGGAATACTGTCTTTCTAAAAAAATCCTACATGGGAAAAACGTCAATTCTAATTTGGCTTAACTGTTTTCCGTGAAATAGTTGAGCTTTTCTAAAGAGTGGATTTAAAAGAAATCTTAACACTTAAAAGGCTAATGTTTGATTTATACTATAAAAAAATCGTATTGTTTTTAGATGCATTATGGAGATTTTAAAAAGTCCCGCTGAGCAAATCTTTAAAGTTTTTTTCAGAATTCCATTATGAACACTGTCCCTTTAACCTTCGCGTGTTTTAAGGGTCAACACGTATTTAACCACAGAGATTAAAGATACATTATGGGAGATAAAATAAAGATCTGGCAATTCTCACTATAACAGTTAAAAAATGTACAATAACACCTACTGGATCTATAGATTGGTTTCAGGCCCCTAGTATAGCTTCTTTGGGGTAATCAAAACTTCTGTCTGAATGAACCAGGTCGAATATCCTACAGACAGTGTAGGTAGCTGCCTACGGTCCGAGCAAACAATCTCCCCAAAAAGGATTTGACGACCTTTTAAAAGTTAAAGATACATTATGGGAGATTAGATAAAGAGCCGGCAGTTATCACTATAATAGTTAAAGGAGCTAAATCGCTAATATTTTGGACCTAGAAATTGGCACAAATGGATCGCAACACATATAATAATGTAATATGAATTTATATAAACTGTTTTACATTCAATCGTGTCCGTTTTACTGTGAATTGTCATCCGTTATGTACGGCGAAATACGCCAGAAGTCTCAACCGCAAGTCAGTTTCTAGCGTCTGGTTATTTCAGTCAACACCGATATTATTTATTGCGCATGCTCTCCAAATAAGAACATGATATCACCGTTTGACATGACTTGTGGAATATGTCTAGCCTCATTCTTTGAGCACCTTGTTACAAATGGCGCTGAAACGCATTATGGTACACGATTCGTGTACCAATGGTAAAATGTTTATTTTGTCTTAAATATTGAATATCAGAAGCCCATCTTTTCCAGGTAAGATCACAACACCAATGCTGATTTAAATTGAAAAAAAAATCGTGTTTTCAATGTTGAAGATTTTGGATGATATTGAGTTACGGACTTAGCTACTTTAAAAACTAAATAATGTAAAGGCAATTTGCTGAAAATTTCAGTCAAATTGATCCACTATGAACCGAGAATTAAGCGATTGAAATTTCGGCCTAGCCTCGATCATCATTACTAAAGTCTGTACGATAAAAAACATAGTCTTGATCATCCATTTCATGATTAAATTATGAATGGAAGTCGAGCAGCAAATGGGATCATAATCTAGTAAATATCGCAGGTTAGCGATGCCATCGAGAGTTGATTATGGTCTGGATAAGTTAATTAATGTCTAAGTAATAATTTAGATAACATTTCAGGCCTAAAGAAAGGCCTGCAATTGGCAGATTTAGCTCTTGCATAATGTATGTTTAATTGATCTCTTTACAATAGAAACATTCGGAATATCGACACCGTTCTTTAAAGTCCTACGAAATATTCAAATTTGGTCTATATATATATATATTCCTAAACCGGGAGTTTGATTTAAATGTAGTTGACTATCCTGTATCTTTGGCCAAGTCAAGAGATCCGCCTTCTCCCGCAATAAATATCATAATTCTTGCATTAATATAAACAAACATGAATCATTCGTAACGACGAATTAGGATTAATTAAAAAAGCCCCATAGATATGGCCCATGAAGAGAGAAATATTACAATAAAAAAAAAACAATTTAAAATTTTGGATATTGAACCGGCAATGCAATGAAATGGATTTTCTGAAATGGCATTCTTACATTAATTTCATGGGTGTCAAGATCGTGTTTTAGGACTAATTACCCCCCCCCCCCCCTTAGACTTTGTTTATGATAATGTAAAAGACTGGATATTCTAGCCAATGACCCATTATTCTCAAATGTTGACAACGCATCCAGACTAATATTCGTAGAATATTTTTCTGGATGATAGAGACTAATTATTTTCTATAATCTTATACGATAGACAATCCATCATAAGACGCATAATTAGATTAAGTCACTGAAATGATATTCAGAATAGAAATAGAATATATTAAGTATCCCCCGAAGAAAGATTTTTCTCACTAACTTTTTGACAAGTATGAAAGTATGATGAGCGATGAAAAATCTTTATTCTGTTTATCTGATTTTTTTTAGGATGTCTGTTTTTTGTCTGACCCTATCACACTTGTAATTATAGAAATGCTTCCATTACACTGATAACCCCGCCTATGACTCCAGCCACAATAGTGGATGGTTGTCAGGACTTTCTTTGATCACGTTTTCCAATAACTCTGGCCCCAACAGGTATAACACATAGCTTAACATAGAATTAACGAATCCCCATTGAAACAGAACTGAAACCTTACAGCATAATTCTAGGATTTTGAAAAATCCAACGGTTGCTCGAGACTTTACGTAGGTAACGTCTTGGCCACTTCGAAGACACTAAGAGAACTGTTCGGTGACTATTTTAAAAGCGAAAACTTCTTTATTTGTGATTATAGCATTTATTTCAATACAAATTATGACGTTATGTGCTGGGGTTATTTTTACTTATGCAATGTATCAATGAATCTACAGCGGTAGCGGCGACTACGCCCACTGTACAATATTGCGGCTATTGTGACATTCAGTTCACAACTATAATGGCTGATTTTGATCCCCGTAATACTTTAGGCCACGAAAGATATGTTTTGGTGCCTAGTAAAACTGGTTTATTCTCTGTGAAAGATTCTTTAAGAAGTTAATTTTACCTATATATTTGAGTTTTAGTCATCTATTCTTTAAACCTCTACAATCGATGTATTATTACATGCATTGCTAATGCACTGTATAGTGGTGGCATACTAATAAATCAGGAACGATCTAAGATGCCCTGGAATCCAGCTCCTATACCTAGGCGATAGGTAATCCTAGTACCAGTCATATCGGCTTACGAATAGACAAGAAGGTAATTGACCGACATGTTTATTCCTACTTGGCGATTTTAATCGAAAACACTATGTATACTTTAAGAATCGGGAGAAGTTTAATATTCTGCTTACGTTTATTTACAAGAGCCTAAAATCACAATCAAGCAAAGACCGTGTCTGCGATATCACACAGGTGAAAGCGGGCGAAAATTCCGCTATTTACAACTACAGCATAACCTTAAATTTCAAAAGCTGCAGAATGTTTCTCATAAGAACCTACAACAGAGACACTTCTGTGCACATTCCCAGTGATACAACCATTAAATACGTATTTATCTGTCCAGAAAGTAGGTAAATAGTCATTGATATATACACTGTCCCATGGTCAGCTTCTGTACTATAACAACTAACCATAAACATGGTGTCGTTAAAGATACATTATGTAAGATTTAGATAAAGAACTAGTCATTCTTGCTATAATAGTTCGAAAGTACATGATGCAAAATGAATAATTTGAAAATTTCATTCAAATTAGTCTATTGCAAGCGAAGATATTAGCCTTTGAAGGTTTGACAGACATGTGCAATAATTTCAACCACCGTACTAGTTGATCGAAGCTAAGTCTCGGTCCTCCATATTTGATTAAATCAAAGTATCGCTAAACCATTCAAATCTATTTAATATCGGAGAAATCTGATGCCATCGAGAGTTGATTAAGGCATGGATCAGTTAATTAATGTCTAATTAATACTTTAGAAAACATTTCAGGCAGATTTAGTTCTTGCATAATGCATGTTTAATAAAACAAATACGAAAAACAATTCAATGATCAAATCCAAAAAAAAATAGAGAAAGAGAAGTTAACCCACTAAGAACAACAACGAGCGTATTAATTTTCAAGCCTTGTACCATTTAGAACTGCATGCTTCCAGTAATTTATTCGATAAAAGGGTTTATTGAAATACAGAACTGAAAAATGCTCTTTTGCGGCATTTACTGAGAATAGTACGCGCTGGTACATTGCTTTCAATTGAAAACTTTGATGTTTTAGTTTTTAAAAAATCACCAATTATATCAAATAGATCAGTGCCCCATCTTCTGTCCTTTGACAAGAGATTCTTTTGATTACTGGTCAATTAGAACTACACATGTATTATTGTTTATGGGTACGAAACACGGCACCTTATCTAAAATAATATCAAATACTTTATAATTAGTCAGTAAAGGTTTAATACCGTACATATCTGTAAATAAACTTATTTACTTACGTTTTAGCCGGTAGTCCGTTAAAACACATTCATGTGTGTACCTGGTTTTATTGTAAATGTGAATAAATAATACAACGGAATCCTGCTAGAGAAATAAGTATTTAAATAGTTCAAATTCAACCTACGCTTAGATTGTGTTCAATACAAAGTCACGGTGTAGTATTATGTCCATTGAGACCGCGTCGACAATACGAGTATAATGCATTGTATGTGTTTTATGATTCTCAGATAAATACAGCCAATAGAAAGGCGACCCTCCTGCCAATCATATAATTATTTCTTATTTTAAATAAACCAACTATTGTAGTCTAATACAGAATTCTATGTAATATATTTACGTTTCGACTTGATAATGACTAGATAATACTAGCCGAAACGTCGCTTAGTAATTAATAGTATTTATATTACATAGAATAATTGTGACCTGTGTAGTATGGCATTATATTAGACTCAAAATTCTAACATGCTATCGTCTAATTTCTAACTTCTATTCATGTAATTTCTAAATTAAGACAATGTATAATCCAACTTTTTTTTTGTTCAGTGTAAATTTTAATTCTGTTTCATCTTATTTCTATTATTAAGAAGAAAAATGTCTACTTTGTTGTCGCTTTACATGTTAAGCATGAAAGTCAAACAAATTTAGAATTTTGATACTTCTACTTAGCAACCATCATTATGGCGTCGTTTGGGGTTGCCACCGTGTGATCGGGACCATTATGTTGATACCTACAACTCGCTCTTCGTCTGGTTGAATGGTTTGCAAATTGAAATACTATTTAAAATATAAGCTAAACCGCAAATGTTGTTTAGCTTGTATTTGAAATAGTATTTGCCAACCATATCACGTTCGATGTTGTTTTCAATTTCAGTTTCGATTCCCCGGTTCGGCGGATGTACGTGACAAGGAGTAGTGTGGCCTGTCAAAACTCGTTGGTTTTCTCCGGGTCCTCATGTTTCCTCCCACTGCTAAACCTCTCCTTGCAAGCGAATTATTGAAATAAAATTGAAACATATGTTAGTAACGAAATGGCCTAGTTTGTGTCGAGTGGTCGTTAAACCCCATCTCTCTCTCTGTCTCCCTCTCTTCGTCCTGGTGTTCGGTTCCGAACTGGATTAATGAAGACGGGCATATGCCATACCCACACAATCACCCCCCCCCCCCCCCACACACACACACACGCCGTGGCTCCCAAACATCATGGAAAATAAACATCTGCCAAAGGGATTTATACAGATTCAGTCAGTTTTACAGAATAAAAAGCGTTCCACTCGTTTGATTCACTAAAATACCCCCATGACAGTTCCTTTAAACACACGCTAATCAAACAATATGAGATGATTATCTTAAAATTATGTCATATTAAAAGATACACATCAAAGTTATCAATTACAAATTGGACAATTTTTGTCGTAAAGATGTTCAAAACAGGAAATATTCAAATTATCGTCATTAAACCAGAATTTGGAAGCCACGAAAGGGAGATACGTAATCATTTCAAGATTAGCATTCTTTGTAAGTGCGTGAACAATAGCCGAAGGATTTCGGAATTAGTCCTTTGTTTGCGATATCATCATTGCTGGAAACCGACGTTAAACACTAATAGAAAAAGAAGGGATCGGTCCAACAATACCCAACAATCACCCCTGTTATCTACAAGTGAAATTCAATTACAGGTAATGTCAGTGGCGGAGATCGTCAGATAATAACTATCTGGTTATTAAAATATTTGCAGTGAGAAATTTAACAGAAACGAAGTGAGAATTTAAAGCGAAATGAAGTATTATTTTTAAAAAAACCCGAAAGATGATGGTGTTTTGAGTATATCTTATAGGGATTGGCGTCATGTTTTACTGATTATTTCGTTCACCGGCTGCTCTACGTTACTGATGATGTTACTACTTCTCTTATCCAAAATTCCCAGGGAACCTAATTATACGGTACTAAATGTTGAGCATCCACGTATGGGATTTGAGGATTAGTGACTATTTTGTTCGCACAGTCCATACTATGTTAACGTATGTGATGAAATGGTGACCTGGTCTGTACAACAATGAAACAAGCAATAAATATTTATTAAAGTAGAAGTTGATAAAGAATCAAGGTTTGGACTTTAAAGCATGAGATACTATTGATTGGGATTTGGCCATTAGATGAATGCTAAAAGGTTCGTCTTTCATTTGATCCGAGATTTTTTTTTTATTTAGAGTAATGGAAAAATCCCGATGAATTATGGTCTATTGTATCAGTAAAAATGACTGTTGATCAGTAAACTGAAAAAGACAATACATATCAATAGCAGAATAAATCAAGCCAGAAAGATAGAAAATGTCTTAATACATTAAGTGGAATGTCACCACTGTAGAGTTTTCATAGAGAAATTGATAAAATAGCACCAAACTCAATTTATTCTGCATAAATTCAACAGCTGTATGTAAACTGTTCATTGCGTGATGACTTGAAAACCTTAAGTCAGCGTGTGTTTGCTTGATTATTTGCATTAGTCTACCCACAGTTTAAATTCTAGATGAATAATTGAAAGCGTCAAGCCACCCTAACTATTGTCTAAGAGTATATGCATATAAGTAAAGACAATCAGGCGACTTATCAAGTGCCCATCAATAAAAATATTTGAAAAAATAACCTACTAAAACAAACGACTTTTGAAAATAAATATACACTGTAAATATATATAGTTGCCAAATAGCGTGGTTTGGGGACAAGGAGTAAGGTCAGCTGTCAACCCCATAGGTTTTCTCTGGTTACCTTCCATTTCTAAAGACCTCGCGTGGATGTTACTCTCTCTCTCTCTCTCTCTCTCTCTCTCAGACAGATAGTGAGATTGGTTGTTTTTAGTTTTTATTACGAAACAAGTATACTTGATCAATCACAAAACAATATTTACAAGAACATTACATTAAAATCACTTTAATCACTTCCCTCAGATACATATCTTATCTTTAAAGATATTTATACTACTATATCCGTGAAAAACATTAATCTCTGTTTCTCACTAGTCATCAATTAAAAGGAAGAAATCAAATAATGGAGGAAATTCGTTACGTTTTTTTAAATGACCCAATCCGTGTACGATTTATTCAAAGTATATCCCATATACAGTAGCCACAACAAAAAGGGATTTGTTTTTATAAGTAACGCATGCATAATTGTCAACTTTTTGATCCCAAACACATCGACTAGCTGATTCCAGCCCTTGCTCTAAACATTGACCCAATATAACATTACAAACAATCTTATAGCGATCGAGTTTTAACAGTTTAATACGGCTTTTTATCATTTCCGTGAGGTTTTCTGTCAATATTCCGGCATGTTTGACGTTGTACGTCACTTCATCTAAGTTGGTTTCTAATACTTCAGTAATGACTCTACGCATCTGGTCAGGATAAAACCCTTTACCTTCGTCCGGATTCATTTTGTACGTATTCTCCAATTTTTGTTTAGGTTTCTGTGGTAAATCTACGGAAGTTTTCGTTAATCTCCGCATTGCGATTGCGTTAGAGATGCTTTGTGCAAGACCTTTGAATGTCGATCGTCGTTTCATCAAAGCGCTTAGATCTGGTTTCGAAGATGAAGCTCCTCCCCCATCTTCTGGTGGCTGATTAGATATTCTCCTGGCAAATACAGTAGATGCGATAGAAACTTTTCTCGGTGATTTTGGAGGAACTACTGATTCCGTTGGGGTTGGAAGACTGGCCACTGTGTCCTCTTCATTGCCATTCGTCATCTTTGACTGAAAAAAATAAAAATAAGTTAAATAGAATAGAATAAAATATAATTAGTAATTATTTAATATAAATTATTAATTAATTAAGTGGCGTGGTTTCGATCGCACATTGTCCATGCGTAGGGTCGTCGCCTGACTAACCTAGTGGGTTTTCTAATCTCTCTCTCTCTCTCTCTCTGTCTCTCTCTCTCTGTCTCTCTCATAATTTATATAACATTTGAAGCCAAAATAAGGACCTGCTATAGGAAGATTTAGCTCTTGTATAATGTATCTTTAAGCTATTGGTGCAGATAGGTGGGACGTTAAATCCCATTCCATTAATTTGTAACGTTTCAAAATAGAGTATTGAATAAGACTAATAAGCTCTATATAAATTTTGGTATCAAAATATTAAAGATAGATTATGGAAGATTAGATAAAGAGCTGGTAGTTCTCACTACAATAGTTAAAAATTAGATAATGTAAAAGGAATTTGCTGAAAATTTCAGTCAAATTGACCCACCCTGAGCCGAGTGTTTAGAGATTGAATTTTGGGCCTAGCCTCGATCATTATTACAAGAGTCGGTACGATAAAAGCATAGTCTCGATTATCCATTTTTTTGATTTAATCAGAAGCAGCGCCAGATTCTAATCCAGTAAATATCGCAGGCTAGCGATGCCATCGGGGGTTAATTATGGTCTGGATAAGTTAATTAATGTATAATTAATTATTTAGATAGCATTTCATGCGTAACGAAAGGCCTGCCATTGACAGATTTACCTCTTGCATAATGCATGTTTAAGTGAAACTCAAACCTACTAATTTTAGTTCACGTTTGGCTTAAAGTGTCGACGATTGAACAGTTAGATCTTAACCTTGGCTATATCTGTGGATTTAAAATTTTAAATGTAGACCGATAGTTACTTGAAGAAACACGCCAATAAATCAAATTTACTACAAGGACTTTAGTTCTTTTAGATTATGAAAATGAATTCTCGGGTGGACATACTTTTTAAGTGTAATCGCGGGGAGACTGACACAATTTGTCCTATTTGTCGAAATCAATTGTGACGTTTAAAGATAAATCAGAGTATAGCGTCTGCCTTTAACGGTTATCCGCAATAGTCTTATTGTTACCACACTGAAATAGATGCTGCTCAGACACATAAATCTTATTTACATTTACACAAACAAAACGGACCGGTTTTGAAAAAAGACATCTTAAGACAAAATCTTAACCATTCTCTTCAAAAATAATCTGTAGCCTATAGATATTAATTTTAAACAATGTTCTTATGTGTTTTATTGCGTAAGAATACAGGATATATGTCAATTTTGGCCTTGGTCTGTAATAAATAATCGTCTACATAAAATTTTACGGAAGTGTAATACAACTGAAGTGGTAAGTGCCATACACAGCATTCGCCACTACATAAAGCTAAATGAGGTGACAGTTTGGGATGAGATCTCA